GCAAGTGCCAGAACTGCTTCAAGCCCCGCGAGTCCCACCTGCTCAACGACGAGGACCTCAACCAGGTGGGATCTTGCCCCCCAAACCCCGCTGTTTTCTCCCCGAAATACGCCCCTGGACACCTCCCTCAGGGCGTCCTGGGTCTCCGTGGGGTCTCCGCTGGCCCCGTGGGTAGCCTGAGGTCCCACAGGTTCCTTGGGGTCCCCTTGTCATCGTAGGGTCCCATGCATGACCCCATGGATAGCTTAGGATCGTATAGATAGTATAGGGTCCCATGGATGTCCTGGGATCCCACGGATAGCACAGGGTCCCATGGGTGCCTGCTGGTCCCATGGTTAGCACAGGATTCTGAGGGATTCCATGGGGTGCCTGCTGGTCACATAGATATTGTAGGGTTCTGTAGGTGCCTGCTGCTCCCATGGGTATCATGGGCTGTCAGAGGTACTGCGGGGTTCCATGGAGTGCCCGCTGACCCCAGGGACAGCACAGGGACCCACAGGTATCCATGGATCCTATGGCGTGCTCAGGAACCCCATAGGTGCTCTCTGGTGCCGCAGGGTATCCAGTGAACCCATGGGGTGCCTTCTGACCTTGCAAATAGCACAGGGACCCACTGGTGTCCCGATATTCCATGGAGTGTTCAGGAACTCCATGGGTGCGCTCTGGTCCTGTAAAGTGTCCAGGAGCCCCATGGGGTGCCTGCTGACCCCATGGATAGCACGGGGATCTACAGGTATCCATGGATCCTATGGGGTGTTCAGGAGCCCCATGGGTGCATACTGGTCCCATAAAGTGTCAAGGAGTCTTATGGGCTGCCTGCTGACCCCATGGGTGGTGTGTGATCCCATGGGGTGCCCGTTGACCCCACAGATAGCACAGGGACCCAGATGTTTGTGAAGCCCGTGGGATGTCCAGGAACCTGTGGGTTCTCTCTGGTCCCATAGGATGTCCCGCGATCCCATGGGATGCCTGCTGACCCCACAGATTCCCAGGTGTCCAGTGGGACACCCGCAGTCTCCACTGGTCCCTTAGGCCATGGCACACCCCAGTGCCACCTCCCCTGGGGCCTCACCCCCTGAGGCCATTTGGGGCCCAGCGCCGGCACTTGGGGTGATCCCGTCCCCTCTTAGGGTGCATGGCAGCAGGTGGGAGGCGTCCTGTGGGCTCCACCAGGCAGTCCCAAAAGTCCTGGGAAAAACTCGGCTGCAAACAAAACATTCCCTCCGTGCCGGACAGGAACCCCCTGCCCTACAGCCCCCAGCTTTCCCGGGGACATGGAAAGGGTACCCCGGTGCCTTCCCGAGAAGGGCCGAGCGCTGGGGGGCTGCCAGGGCTGGGCCTTCCTCCTCTTCCCTCTCTTCCTCCTCTTCCTCCCAGGCCCGACACGGGCCCAGGACGCGCGCACCCATGGCAGGGGGCACGGAGGGTGTTTTGGGGCACGGGGACCCATCTGTGGTGTCGGGGTGTGGGGGAGCAGGGCCGCCCTCCCTCCTCCCACACCTTTCTGGGCCAGGGCTGCCATCCCCGCTCCCGATCCTATTATGGCAATGAGATCAGACATATTGCTGCGCTCGCTGGGGGGGCGGCGGAGGGGGGGGGGGCATCGTGAAATCTGAGGGCTAATATGGAAAAAATGTAACTGGAAAAAATGCCGTGGTGTGTGCGGGAAGGGGCGGGCGGCGGGGAGCGCCGCGGCCGTGCCCAGACAAAGGAGCCGTCCCGGAGGGGGCTCGGGAAGAGCCCCCCGCTCCCGGCCGGCCCCTTCCCGCTGCCCCGCTGGGGGTTGTGCTGCCTCCTGGTGCAGCGTTATTTATTTTCTACTGGGGAGGGGCGCTCGGAGCACTGCACGCACCCCCACAGCGCCTGCCTGCCCTGCCATGGGGGGGCCTCCCGCCTCCTTGGGGACCCAGGGCCCAGGGACGTGTTTCGGGCAGCCCCTCGCTGGCTTTGTTCCCGCCGGGATGGTGGGTGGCCCTGGGGGGGAGCTGCTCCCACGTCCGGCCCTCACGGGGTCGGGGTCAGCCCCGCGGCCGGATCCAGGCCCCGCGCGCGGGGGCTCCGGTTGGGAAAACGGCGCAATCCCCGCTCGGCTTCTCCCTTGCAGCTGGGGTGAAGTAATCCCGCTTCCCAGATAAGATGGTGGCTGTGGTGGCGTGTGATGCACGCACGCACCCTCCCGCCCCGCCGAGCAGCCCCAGAACGCTGCCCCCCCCCGGCGCTTCCCCGCCACCCTGCCCATCTCCCCTCCCGGTTTGTGCCCCGTGTCGGAGGTGCTGCAGCGAGGAGCCTGGCTGGGCGTGGGGGTGTGCTCGCTCCAAAGCACACCCAGGAATAACGGTTCATTTAACAGCTCTGAATGCTTCTGCCTTTTTAATTCATTTTTTTTTTTCGGACTTGGCTTGGGTCGGGGGGCGTCCACACAGCAGCGTGGGGGCTCCATGGTCAGCGCGTCCTGCTCGCCCCGTAGACAGGGACAGTGTTGGTGATTACCTAGAGTCAGGGTAGAAAAGTCTTTGGGAGTCATCTGACCTTTGTACTTGGCTTGCAGGAAAGGTGAAGGTACTTCACACTTACGCACTCGTGTCTCTTTTGGATTTTTATTAGATAAAAATACCTGTGTGGGTGTCAGGAGCTGCCCCTGCTCCTTCCCGGCTGTTCCGGGCTGATGGAGCTGCTGGGGCAGAGACTCGGACTGTGTTTGCAAAGAGTCACAAATATTTAGTGGTAGTAGTGGATTTCCGTCGTACTCGGGAACTGGCTTAGGAATGGGGCTGGGAGGGGGGAAATCCAGCCCCAAACATCAGGATTAATGAGCTGGAGCTCTCTAATAATAATCAGACTTAGCGCTTCCAACTTCAAAGGGCTGTGCGGACGCTAAATCCCTAATCCCGGGAGCGCTGCGTTCACGAGTTGTTTTTGTGCGTGGCTCTGCTGCCGGACGGGGGTCGGTGTGATTTGGGGCAGCTACATGTGGTCCCACCACCCGTTGGAGACATGACTGTCCTCCCCCCCCAGGGCTGCAGGTGGGAGGTGATGTTCCCTTGACACACCCCCCCCCCCGGCCTAATCCGCGTTTGACCTTCTGGGGTGCATGGGAAAAACTGGGTCAGTCACCGCGTCTGTTCTCCCTTTGGGAAAATCTGTTGTGGGTCGTGGGTGATCAGAGCCCTGTGATCCTGCGCAGGATGGCAGGATCGCCCTGTGATCAGTGGCAGGATCTGACCGCTGGTCCCTGGCAGACACCATGCTGGTAGTGGCTCTGTCCTGGCTGTGCCACCCACCCGTTGCCAGCTCACCTTATGCTGCTCCTTTCCCAGCAAGGGAGAAATTCCCTTTTCGCGGGAATTCCCTCTTTCCTGGCAAGACGTGCCTGTGCCAGTATCACATGGTCCCTTGTAACCACCTGCAAACCTTGTGTGGAGGTCAACTTTCCAGAGCCTGCCCTGGGAAGATGGATGGTTCCTAGGGACCATCTCCAGGAGAAAGCCAGCCTGGCCAGCGGGACCCTCTTCCTAAGCAGCCACCCAGGGCTCTGCAGGGCTGTGGGGGTGTCACTATGGGATCCCTGGTCTCCATGCCAACTGCCCTGGGCTGATCCATGCCTGCACACGCATGCCTTTGGTCTGTAGGATGAAGCCCCCACAACACGGGACAGGCTGGGAATTAACCTCAAAGTTCTGCCTGGCCTGAATTGGAAGAAGAGCAGAGTGTAAAACAGTTACTTTTAATTTTCTCCATGCATGTGCTCTCCCGGGGCATGGGGACTGGCACAGATAGAGGAATTTGAGGACGTCTTTCCAGCTACCAGTATTTTTTTTGTTGTTGGTTTTTTGTTCCCTTTTTTTTTTCTTTTTATTTGAGATCGTGGCATGGATGCCCAGAGGACCACCCAGTTAGAAAATGGAGCTTGTAGATTTTTTCCCACTGCCTCCTCCTGTGACACCCCTGCCCAGTGGCGGCGGGTGGTTATTTCCATCACTTCTCCATTGGACATTATCACTTTCCTACTGTTTTGGATGCCGAGCAGCTGGTGGCCAGCAGCCCTGAGGCTGGAGCGTGTCAGCGTTGGGTCGCAGGCTTGGCTTTGATCTGGGACATTGCATCGATGGAGCCGGGATGCCCTGGGCCTGGGGTCTTATCCTGGCTTCATGCCTTGTCCAGAGGGTGACAGGGTGAGGGATCATGTCCTGGCCACGCTTTTCCCTCCACCCCTGTTCCCTGGGGGAGAAAAAGCCCTCGCTTTCCTGGAAAGCAGCCCCCGCGCTTGCATTCCCTGCTCCCTGCTGCTTGTATCATGCTGCAAAAATCTGCCTCTACTTGACTAATTATTAGGACTGAACAGGGGGAGATTCTCTGCAAATGTCAAACTCGCCTGTGATGGTGTCTGTGGAGGGCAGGGACATGGGGGACACAGCTTGGGGGGCTGGGGTGGGGTGTCACCCCCGGGCAGCATCCCACCCTTGGAGAGTGATGGGAGAGCAGCAGGAGCTTGGGATGGGTGTCACGTTGGGTGCTGGGGTCAGTTTGGGGTGCACTTAACCCTCCGCATGTCCCAAGGGAAGGGACGTGGCGGCGCCTTTGGGTGCTGGAGAACCGTCCCCTTTGCACACTGCCTTGCTGCTGGGTTTTTGCATGGCGCCGCACCTTATCTGCGCTGGCACCCGGCGAAGTGATAAATCCCCTCTCCAGCACTCTGGAGAGATGTTGTGGCTTCTCCCAGGCGCTGAGGAAGGCCAGTGGTGGGAAGTGGTTAGATACGCCTGCTTGCTGCCGGGCACGCCGGCTTCAGGGCTGCTCCAGGAGGAGCTGGAATTGCAAAGTCTGTTCTGTCCCACTTCATTTTGCTGCTGCTTTACAAGTTGCCAGTGCACGCTCCATCCAGCCTCATCCAGCTCCTGCTCCGACTGCCCAAGCTGATGGCAGCACTCAGACCCGAGCACAGCCCTGGGACCAGAGCTGGGGTGTTTGCAGAAGGAGGCCGGCTGTTTGCATGAAGGGTGAATTGAACCTTTCCCCTTCCTGTTCCTCCAGTCGGTCAGTCAGTCCTGCTGCCCACGCAGCAAAC